ACTTTGTCAGATTTGAGGTAGATACATTTCTTGCTAGCTACACGGGGAACCAGGCGAAGTAGCTGGTATTGATACTGACCATGAGTTTGTTTAAAAAAAGAGCCTGGACTGAAAAATACATGAAAAGTTCTAACAAATTTGAAGAGTTTGCTTACGGTTTTCTTCAATAACTGTGAAGTTGTGTATAAAAACCTGGTATAAAATAGTAGAGTGAAAATCTTGAAGGATAATGATTTAAAATCACGGCTGCGAATTTTTTATCCAAAAATTGTGGATAAAAAAAATATTTTTTTTCCGAAATTAAGATTTAAAATTTAACATTTTATTTTTTAATTTGAATGAAGTACACAAATGGGAAAAATGTTAGTTCTAAAACAATTTATTTTTAAATAAAATTTTTTTTATGTTTTAATGCAGTATGTGGGAAAAAACTTTTTTTCAAGTCGGTATGTGGGTTTAAATTTTAATTTTATTTTGAGAACCAAAAAAACGAGATTAAAAACTAAAAAAAAAAATTTATTCATATGTTCATTCAATTAAATGAACTGAAGCAGTTAATGAAAGAACAGAACTTTTCTAACTTTTTGATTAGTATGATACAACGCTAAAAGCACTGGAGGCAACACAAAATTTTAGTTGAAGGATAATTATTTGATAAAAATTAAAATTAGCCTTTCATTTCAATTGCCTCACACTAGTTCCAAGTATTACGTAGGGAGCTTCGGCTATGGTCTTGATTTTGGCTAGTTTCAATATATATATATATAATATTTTATTTAAATTCGCACACTTCAGTTTCTTCAAGCCTACAAACTTGTATTTATGTAAGCCTATAAATATTTTTAACATATCTACTCGTATATGTATGTATATATCATATGTTTCTAGGTATACTTGTATTTTGGTTTTGCCATATGCACTTCACAAATTGTGGGAACAGCGTTGCATTGCTGCGCCCTAATTGTGAAAAATGTGAGTTTGCGCAGAAATAGCGCACAACAATAATAACAAGACGCGAATACACACTTTGCAAGAAACCTAACAACAAATTGGCAGTCTACAAACGAAAAAAAAAGTACAAATAACTAAAACGAAAACAAAAATGAAAACAAAAAAAGTATTAAAAGCCACACTTTTACCAGCTAGAAACAACTCTACAATTTGCTGCAATTTAAAAATAAAATAGATACACACACATTTAACCACATATCTATATTTATATGTATGTAAATCGGAAGTTGTGGCAACAGATGTGCAATATGTTGCACGCAGCTTGAATTTTGCACGCGTCTATGCCTACAAAATGCTACGCGAACGCAATAAACTCCGATCTAAAATAGGCTAGGCGGCGCTGCAGTTGGCTTTATGTAACGTGGAGTGTTATTTTGTATGTGGCAGGCATCGGTAGAGTGTTGCTTGTATAGACACATGTAATTGCCTGTTTTGTGCGGGATTTCAAAGGCGCAAATTGTGGCGTTGCTGCATTGGATGTGTGGCAGTTATTCGGTTTATGGCACTGCTGGTAGACAGGGGGTCTCAAACATGTTTTTTTCGTCTTCGGAAAACAAATCATACAACTATTTGTAACATATACCGTAGGGACTAGGGAATGTTCGTATGATAACCAAAGACGATTTGGTATTGGACGTCTAAAAAAAGGTCTTACGAATGAAAGTCTCAAATAAATCCACAAAATTGTTTTGGCTGAGCCAAAAGTGAAATTAGTTCAGATATGTAGCACTCTACAGGCTTGCGTAATACAAATTCGAACGCATTGAAAATATTTTCATAAATATTGGGGTTTTCGACAGCTCAGAGCAAATATTTTGCGGGAGAGAGCCCTTATATTTATCGATGGATCACCGTGTTGAAATTGAATGAAAACGATGGCAGAATTGAATGTATTGAGATTGCTATGGCTGCCGCATCTACCGTACTCGCGTCTACTTTTTCTTGTTCTCGGATCTTAACAGAATGGTTGCTAAATAAAGAAATCAATAATGTTGAGGTCTGTTTTGAATTTATAGATCAATTTTTTTATAAAAGTAATATCAAAGAGTAATGAAAGCTCCTATCTTTCCAATAATAAATTCGACTTTTTCCTCAAAAATGCTAGGCATAACTGAATTTCAGATTCAATGTTATAAGAAGATTTATTTCTTATGATCACTTTTCACTTAAGCTTCATCTTCCTCACAGTAAGAATCGCTCTCTTTTACTATACAAGCTTCGTGAGGCCGTCAATTTGGTCACTTCAAGATATTAAGCGCTTCGGATTTCTTTTTAATAACTAGCTCATATTACAGTTGTCTTCCAATTGATTCATACTATTACATATTTTAACTCTTTGGAGAAAAAACTGCGATTTATAAAAGCATTGAACTTAAAGCTTCTAAACATGCCTATTTTTTCACATGAAAAATCTACATCTACAAAAAGTAGTTTTTTCAAATCGAAAAAGTTATCCGCAAAGTATACTTCAAATCTGTCGTCGTGAAGTGAATGAACAGATCAGAAAAGGCTTCCGTCACTTCTCCCGTGACTTCGAGCTTTAAAGCTTTTTAATTTTTAACAGAAAAAATCACGTTAACTTCGTTTGTACAGAAACTACCCTTTACAGGTGCATTTCTTTTTAGTTTTAAAGGGTATGAAACGATCTGTATGTTGATTGTGAGTTATCAGTTGGTAAGGCAAGTATATGCTATAGTAGTATGAAATACATATTCGAAGATTGTAGCGTTGATTTGGGCAATAAACTGTGCACAAATTTCGTGAAGATATCTCGTCAAATAAAAAAGTTTTCCATACAAGGACTTGATTCCAATCATTTAATTTGTATGACAGCTATATAATATAGTCATACGATAACGGCAGTTCCAACAAAAGAGTAGCTTCTTGGCGAGGAAAGGACCTGTACACAATTTCAGACTGATATCTTTAATACTAAAAGTCTAGTGCACAGAGTTTTCAACAGTCCTGGTCAAATTTATATTGTACTGAGATATAGGGATACCTATTCGATGTCTCCGGTCACCGCATCTTTGTAGCTCCACTAAACAGATTGTGGCCCACTGTAGATTCAAAGCGCTGTTGCACTAGTACACCGCACTCTACTTCTTTCACCAAATATTCTCACTCCTCCACCAGCATATCGATATGTGTGTATGCTGGAAATCAAAGATCTCCTACAACAATGCAACATTTGCGCGAAATGAAAATTACTGATTAGAAAATTTATATAATTTCGCAAACGATTTACGTACTTTAATGGATTCTTAGAGGTGGATTGTGTACAGCGCAAAGAAGTCTACCCATTCAATATGCTATAAACTAAGGTAAGTGCAGGCAGTGGGAAATAAATCTATGAATACACACACACACGCACAGAAACAGTGCGAAAGTGAGGGTGAGAAAAGGCAGACAGTGACTGTTGATGGACAGCAGTTGAATAGTAGAGTTACCCACCAATAACAACAACGAATTGCCTGCAGTGTGAGCAAATGCAGGTGTAACAGCAGCAAAGGAAGTGAGCGGGTGCGGCTAGCGGAAATTAAAGGTGAGGAAGTGTACATGCCATGCTGAAGCTAAGTAAAACGAAGAAGTGGAAGAGCGCAGAGTAAAATTTCTTATTGAAATTATTTATTGTAGTTGTTATTGTTAATAGTGGGTGCCGTATGAATATGCGTCTTATTAAATCAAAAACATCAACATACTCACACACTTACATACATGCATACATACATGTGTATATGTGTTGATGTTGTAAGTGATATATTCGACCAAGTGGAATGCAATCGGACAGCTGGGCGAATGAGCCGTTGCATAAAAGCGCACTATTGTGCTGAGCACAAGTAATTATTGTACGCATTGCTTGGAGTAAGCGCTTAGCCGCGTATATGGCTGAGTTGTGGGATTCTTAGAGAAATGCAAGTATTTGATTGATTGCGGGTGGGACGTGTCATTGCTGTGTATTGCAATTATTATGTAAGACCTAATATGCGCTACTTTTTAACTAGTTGGTTTGTAATAATTTTTGTGCCAGTTCTAATATACATCGATATTTTTTTCTCTATAAAAACTAATTACTATTTAATTTTAAAGTATTATAATAGACTATAGTTTTAAATAGAAATTCTTCATTTGAAAAAAATTTCATTTAATTCTTGAGTATTACTTCTATCGAGCGATCTTTAAATTTTTCGATACTATTTTTCTGCGTATTAAGATTTTTCTTTTGGCTTAAAATATAAATGTCAATTTCAAACATATCAATATCGCTAAATTCTATTAAGGTCTGAGAACTGAGAAAAAAAGCGGCTGGGAACCAGATATGTAGAATATGTTGAAAACGGAAGTCATTCGAATTAATTTTGCCATCGATTTTATTGATTTATGTTACGTTAATGGTGATCTCGCACGGTACGCGCTTTTCACAGAGCTATTATATGCCCAAATTTTTATGAATAGTATGTTCAACACTTCTTTTGATAAATTTAAAGTGTCAGTTATCTCAATCTATTCCAGTTTACGGTCATTCAAAATTATTTTGAAATTTTTTGTATGTTTTCTTTTGAAACTGTCATGTTGGTACGTAATTTAGCGAACTACATAAAAATGCTTGTTTTGTGGTTCTAAATAATCTGACTTCAAAAGTTTATAAACTCTCTAAAGAAAACCTTAAATAATATTCTCTTATACATTACATTATATATACATTTTTATGCTGGGGAACTATTGTACAAATTAAACACAAAAAGTAACGTGACTTATGAAAACCAAAAACTAAAAAAGAGTTAAATATATAATATATGGATGATGGAAATTAAGTGATTATTTTTTAAGCTATTTCCTGGTATTCTAATATAAAGAATGTTATAGAGTTATGTTGCTGCCACAACACCGCAGTGCCAAGAAACACATTCAATATGTAAGTTAGATTCTTAGTATATATTATATATATATATATATGTATGTTGGATATAGAATATTTGTTAACTTACCTTAGAAAAGCCTATATTTGGCGTTGGTGCATGATGTATTGAAATGTCATGCCGTTTAAAAACTGTAATGAGAATTAAAAATAATGAAAAATCAATCCACAAAAAAACAAAAAAATCATGAAAAGCACATAAATATAATCTGCTTAAATATATTCATTTAAAATGAGTAATTATTAAGTTCTTATATCAATAAAAAAATCTGCTGTAAAAGTGTATATAACAGAAATAGAATAGAAATATATGCAGTCCAGTTCATCATAAGAGTTAATTAATAACTGATATATGTTTATTTAGTTCTTATCATTAGAATGTACCTACGCTGAGCTATAACAATAATAAACAAGGTTATCCTAAAACAAGGAAATCCGTTAACTTCGGGTGCACCGAAGCTATAGCATCTTGAAGGAAAAGGGATGTATGCAAAATTTTAGATCGATATCTCAAAAACTGAGGGACTAGTTTGCGTATATACAAACAGACGGAGGGACAGACATCGCTAAATCGACTCAGCTCGTCACGCCGATAATTTATTTATATTCTTTACTGGATCTCCGCCGTTATATTCTGGGTGTTACAAACTTCGTGGAAAACTTAATATACCCTATTCAGGGTATAAAAATTAAAAAACAATAAGAAATGCTGAAATTTCTGAACCATTTATCAATATGTCTTGATATTAATGTATAATCAAAATTTCTAAATTTTTTTGAGCATCAGTGGAACTAGTACTAGACAGTAGTGAGTTATTTACCATATCTCCTAGACATACATTTAATGGGTATTGAACTTTATAGTTTATTCATTACTTAATCCAAAAATCATTAGATATTTTTCACTCGAGTTGTAAAGTGCTTATTATTCAAGAGTGGAGTACGAATTTGTATAGTATGTTACACCACATGTTGCCTACATTTTGGCGCATTATTGTTATGGTGAATTGAAAACATGAACGTTTTTTATTCTAACTGCCGACAAAGTGTTTTTAATGACGATGTAGGTATTCCTTTCCCCTTAATTAAGTTACTGGAATCCTGTAGAATCGAGTTTAACTCCTTGCACCATTATGCCGAATGAACTGAACCGATTAAAAAAATGCTGAGTGTGTTAGGCAATATGAGATTAAAATCGAATTATTCATATAATGAAAAATCTCCACCCGAACATGTTGATTTCTGAGTATTTTTTTTATCAGATATTTAAAAAATTTTTTTTTTAAATAAGAAGTTCACAGCTTGGTTGAGTATAATACAGATTTCATAGCCACCAAGTCCAAGTCTTATTCCATTTTAAAGTTGATGTCCTGGGGTTCTATACTTAAAATTTTTAACTAAACGACACCGAAAAATTATTTCACCATCCCGGAAATGATCTCGTTACCGCAAGACTACCAGCTCATTTATAAAGAACTAAGTACATTGTAATGAATAAGCTTCCCATTTTAACCACAAACGTTATAAAAAGCTTGTTAAATAGAGTTCAACGTGAACCTTACTAAAACAATCATTAAGGTGGCAAAACCTCGCGTGAACAAACAGTAAGTGGTAGGGATTTTTTACTTCCTGAACAGAAGTGTGAAAATTTGGTAAATACGCTTAACCGAAGAGTTTAATACCTTACACATTTATTAGCGGCAGCATATTGAATATCGCGAATTGATGATAAGACGCTGCTGTACAAACATACAAACAGCCAAATACAGACTTGTGTGTGGCAGAAAGGCAGCAACGGCGAACGGGCACTCACTTTTGATGTTTAAGTATTATACACTGCAGTAAAACTCTGAGATCATACTGGTCTAAGATTATACATTTTTGAGGCAAATGGAACTAGTGTGAAAAATACTACTTCAAAATTAGATTTTTCGGTTGGAAAATGAACTAGTCCGAAAAGAAGTGAAATTGTATCTATTATAAAACGACGTATAAAGTTTTTATGACCCTTTATCATTTTTTTAATTATAAAGTTTTCTATTTAGCTTCCAATTATGTTAAGTTCTTTGGTCAATTTTGAAGTGGTTTGCAACTAATACTTTTCTACAATAACTGTAGTCTGAAAATTTACATCTATTAATCAAGTTGCAAAATAACAGTTATTTGTTTGTTTGGTTGGATAACACATTCGGTTAGACTAATTGCGTTCGCTCTTCATAATGCTTGTATTTTTGTAAGCGGGTGGCAAAAGAACATACTCAACTCGGATAAAATTTTATTTAAAAATTTTGAAAACGCAAACATCATCTCAGTTGTAAAAATGTGCTTAGTTGTTTATTTTATTAATTTTTTTATTGGTATTCAAAGTCATGTTATCCGAAATTCCATAGCTTTTAAATCTTTTGACCGATTTTCCTCTTTTGAGCCTCATCAATGCATTGGAAATTTATTATATTGGATCAAACCATTCCCTAGACCTCATATACCGAAACTATGAATTTTTTTTACCTATCCTAAATTTTGTGTTTTATGTATCGGAGAACCTGTATAATATATATGTATGTATATATATGATTAGCGTAACGAGTTAATTCGATTTAGTTATATCCCTCTCACCATCTGCGTTCCCGGATAAAAAACTTTTTTATTTGACTAGGTATCTTCACGAAATTCGGCATGGATTATAGTCCAAAGCAACGGCATATTTTCCAGAGAAATTGTTCAGATCGGGCTAATATAACAAATGGGTGGCATATTTGTGAAATGCTATTGTAGCTTGGGCGTATTATAATCGAGTGTTCTATTGTCACTCGCTTAAAAGTGAACACATCTATACCAGTTGGAAGATAGTTTGCAACTGGTTTCTTTTGCGTCCGCAAAAATACATTTTTAATTAGCAAGCGCGCTTTAGAAATGGCGCGCACCAAAAAACTTCTGAAAGTAAATAAATATTTAAAGCAAAAACGCTAAAATATAAACAATGAAAAATGGTTGCTTCCGCTGTTTAACTCAGCAGCTAACTAATCTTGCAAGCCAACAATTTTTACGTTTTTCACTGCCGCACTAATTGCCACATATGCCTCGAATGCAAACTCAGCATAATGTTGCAAAGCAACAACATATTACAAGCACAAAACAAGCGCACTGCAATTGTTGGCAGCAAATAGTTGAAGAATAAATACCAGTATTAACAGCCAATACGAAATAAATAAATACAAATCGGAGCAACTTAGCGCGCTTTCGTGTAGTATTTGTCAAATTTCTTTCCAGCCATCTGTTTGTTGCAAGGCTTTCGACTAGCTTGCAGTGATACTCGCTGGTAAACAGAAATTTTCACAGCATCACAAAGTTTTCCCAGCTGTGCAAAAATATTTGTGCTTCCTTGTGCATAAGTTTACAGAAAATAAACAACAAAAACCTTGTTGCAGACTTTATGTTAGGCTAAGCCCTCCACTTACTGGCAATGAGTTACTCCAGTACAACACATACACACATGCATACACTCCAATTCGCAACAGCGGTTTGGCAAATATTAGTAAATGTTACTGACTTTGCAATTTCACTTTCCGCCCGCCGCGTTCCCCTTACCAATAAGGTTTGGGCACATCGCACCTTACTTGCAACATCCATGTGTAGTGCGCTGTGATTTCTATTTACTTTGTTGCAGTGCCAAATGTTTATTAAAGATTGCAGCAACAACTGCTTTTAAGTTCTACAATATTTACTATTTATTTATTTCATTTCGATTTCTCTTCTTTTCAATTGCTTTTAGCTTTATATAAGCCTATAAGTTGTAATATTTATTGCAACATTAGACTGGTCGAACTTTTGAGCGGAGAAGTAAAGGAATGGAGAAACCATACGGCAACCAGTTGAGTTTTTACCGTAGCATGGTGAAGTAGAGAGGTCTAGAAATATTTTTGTCAGTAAAAATTTTACTTTTTCTCTCATAAAATCTTCCTATAGAATCCATCAGCCGTTTGATTGTTTGCATTTTATATAATATTTTGTGATTTGGCAACATTAGTGTTGCTATTTGCTAACTCACAATTTTATCCTAAAGTTTGACATTTTTGATGTTATACATAATCAGAACGTGTGGTCATATCAGCGCTTTTTGTGTCGTTTACAGTAACTTAAAATATTCACCTCAGCCAAAAAATGGAACTAAATCGCAACAGTACATCGTTGCACTTAATTGAATTTTTAGCGACGAAGTTCCATCAAGGACCAATGTCTACTGATGATAAGTTGAATGAAATCGAGGTCGTAAATCACTCTGAGTCGAATTTCGTATAGTTCGTCCAAAATCAGTTGTTGTTCCGGAAACTATTGATGATGAGCGCAAACTGAGATTGAGACAACTATAGGTATTAGTGGGTCAATAGTGCATGAATATTTGGTTGTAAAAAAACTTTGTTCTCGTCGAATCCCACACAATTTGTCAATCGCTCTAAAAAAGGCTCGTGCGGATTGGTCGAGAGAAATGTTAAAAAATAGCGGTGCTATCGTCTATGATATCTTGACATATGATGAGTCGAGAATTTACGCGTATGAGTCCGAAAGTAAATGGCAGTCGACCGTATGTTACAAGATGAGGCGAATACAGTAAAAGTCGTTCGCACACGAAGCATCTCTTAGCAAAAGGTTGGCGGTTTTTACTATACGATATAGCGATACTACTAGAACAACGCAGAACAGTAAATTCTAAGTATACAACAATTCTTTGTGCAGTTGTGTTTAAAAAAAAGCCAACCACCGAAGACGGATAATTTTTCACCACGACAATGCAAGATTTTCCTTTTAGAAAATGCGAGCTCTTACACATCGACTGAAAGAACTGCATTTTTGAGCACTCAAAATATCGATTGGATGAGTCATCCGCCATATACCATATTACTTTTATCCGATAATATCCATACAAAAAAATTGAAATTCGATCAAATATCGAGTAAAAGTCTGAACGCAGCCAAATCTACATACATTGTTTTAGTGCGAACAGCTACAATAAATATAAGTCGATTTTAAAAAACAAAGTCTTATAAATTATGTTAGTTATACTTCAATTCCCGGTAATAACGCCGATTTACTTCGAACTTGACTTATTGATTGAGTGAAATAGCAGAAACAAC